CATTACCTGTGCACCGTGGCCCCTCAGATGCCAGCCTCACATTGCCTGGCTGCCCTTGTAGGAGGTATGTCCCCTATGCATTTCCTGTGAGATTATGTGAGTAATTTCATTTGGATAATCCATTACTGATAAAGCCAGTTCAGAATCCCTGTCTCCACAGGTAGCAACAACTGTTCTAACTAGCAGACCTGAAAGAGAAGAAGCAATTTCCTACACTTGCATCCATAAAGGAGATGGCCAAAAACAACCTTATGAAATAGGACTTGGCTTTGAAAACTCCCATGATTCCTCATCTTGACAAAGGTATGCCATAACTCTGAGCTATTTATTTTAAATTATGCTAGAGCTCAAATTATTTATCTAATATACAGTAAATAAACTTTTCAGAAAAATCATTGTATCTTTTTACATTTTGATTCAAGTAGTTTTATTCTCCTACAACTAGATCTCGAAGGATAGGAAACTTTGTAAAGATGTGGGCAGATTTTGATGGAAAAGATTTTCATTAAAATCCAGAACTTAACCATTAGCAGAAATATCAATAGTTTTTATTTTTTAAAAAATTCTGCTGTTTTGTACTGCAAAGAACTTTTCCTTTCTTTAAAGAAATAACAACTCTCCTTTATTCAATAATGGTCTGTTAAATCCCCAAGCTTCTCTTACTTCTTCCTTTCTAACTTCCTTTGACTATTTCACATCCCTTTGTACATATCATTAGGACATTAAAAGAATGGAAATAAGAAAAAGCGAAAAATAAAGAAAATAGTTGAAGAAGATCCATAAACTCACTATAAATTATATACAATATAAAATAACAACCCCCAAAAGGCATACCTTATACATGGTAGAATTGTTCTAATATAAATTAATGACAATATTTCATCCATGATTGAATGGCCTAAGAATAATTTACATAAATGTCAAGTATGCACCAACAAACCAAGATAGCATAGGTTCAGCTGCCTGCTTAGACTGGAATTTCTAATATCTTCATAAAGTTATGTCAAAGAGTTTTTATGAATAGTTTTAAAGATTTCGTAGACCAGGAGATTTTACATATATATACACACACACACACATATATATATATATTTTACTGATGCTGGGGTAAAAAGAAAAACACATCAAAGAAAAGAATATTAAAATTACTTAAGCCATAAGCAAGAGAGCAAATCCTTTAAGTAAATCCTTTAATTAAAGTAAACCATAGAAGTAGCTGAACTATGCTGATTTTCTCAGACAGAAAAAATAAAAAAGTGTGACATTCCTGTTTCTCATAATATTCTGTAAGCAGAAAAGAATAATGTCTTATTTCTAGTTACTATAAGTCTGTCAAATTTTCATGACTTTAAGGGTGTGGACTAGAACTGGGCACTATCAAACAACCATCAATAAAGTTTCAATTCTTAGATTCTCTCATTTATACTCACACCTCTAATTTATGAATCATGTTTCAGTTACAAAAGTTGATAAGTATAAAATAAGGTGTCAAACAAAAAATGTCTTAAGTAAAATTTTAATAAGAACAGTGTTCAAATTCAAAATATTCTAATTTTGCTACTTTAGAAGAATAAATGCATTTTTATAAAAGCCTGATTAAGTATGTCACAGAGATGTACACATTTATCAAAACTCAGCAAACTACACTTACAACCTGTCCATTTAACTATATATAAATCATACCTTAATTTAAAAAGAATAAAAAGAGCATCCTTAACCATAAGGTCCAAAGAATTATAGTCACGCAATATAAGAGAAAAATCCGAGAAATAGAAATGCTCAGGCTGTTGGCTATTGATTTGTGCAGTCACTTTAAAGTTTCTTTATGCTCTTACTTCAACCAATATTTGATCATTGGATCTGTTCCTAGGGGAATGTGTGGAGAAGCAATTGAGCCAACTCTTTCTGTGTTTTTCATACACCTTGTCCCTCAGCATTTATGATTTAGAGAATGCAAGGTAGATTTCGAAGGGTACATTCATATCAAGGGGATTACATGAAAGAATTAGCTTTTTTGTGTGTGTGGCTAAAAGGGCTTTTCTTTGTTCTCTTACCAGAGGAAAAGGTTTGCTTTGGGCGAGTTCCCCATGGCAAAGCTCTTTGAGGAATGAATTCTGAAGTGCATTCATCCATGTCTTCAGGACCTTCTAGTTAAAGCATTTAAAAGGGATAGTGGGACATTGTCCTTCACCACCCTTTCTTTCTGTCTTTGATGTGTGATTTTAGCCAATCTGGGATTTTGATACACTTCCTAAGACCCTTCAAAAAGTGTCTTCATAAAAGCAACTTTGTAAAAGATTCCACATGTACCAAGTCAAAAAAAAAAAAAATCCTTCATAACTGCTAAATGCAAAATTAATTCGAACTCAAAAGTTTTCAGTAAAGGAGCATTAAAATTTGATACAAATTTTGCTCCTTATTTACAAATGAAATTTTACACAGCACTTTAACTACTGATGAGTTTACAAATAGTGTTTATCAATAAGGGGTTTTAAGTCATAAGGTAAAAAACCTTGTGCCTACAGTAGTATTGCCCAAGACATTAGTAAAAAAGAAGAAAAATTAAAGCCTCGCATAAAATCTGTTCTCACTTTTCTGCTCTTCAGGGTCAGTTTGTCTGTCAGACTGAAGAATTAGAGCAAGAAGTAACTTTAGAGATCATCTAATCCTTTTTCTCCATTTTATAAACAGAGAAACTGAGACAATTTTTTGTGACTCGATTAAGGACATTCATGAGGATCAAATAATAATCTTTCTCATGCTTGCCTTTACATTTTCACTAAATTTAAGGTAAATCTTTGGTTAAATATTACCAATTTTTAAATCATTGGTTTCTCAAAATAAGAAAAAAAAAATCTGTTTAGACTCCATGTGATGAAGTTAATCAAAAGCACAGTCTATATGATCCTGGTTCCAATTCCTAGTCCCACAACTAACTAATCATGTGACCTTGAGTGAATTTCTGAGACTCCATTTAGCTACCTATAAAATCATGAAAAACAATTCCTAACTCAAAGACAGCTGGGAGTAAATAAGGTCATGCAAATGAGGTGCTTAATATAGATCATAGGCCCTATAATAGATAGCTGATACTGTATTTTGAATTACAGATGAGGAATGTATATGTTTACATTAAAATTATTTGGTTGTGCTCTCGATCCCTATAGCTAGGATTACAATTAAAAAACTTAACATGTAATTACAATTAAATAAATAACTTAAAAATAACTTAACATGTAAATACAATTAAATAACTTAACATGTAATTACCAAATATATAAAAAAATATTTCATGAGCTCAACTTGTGGCAGGTATTGTGATGGTACTAAAACAACATACAATTCTGTCCCTATCCTGAAAAATAAATTAATTCCTATGAAATTAACAGTAACCCATAAAAGTCTCTGTGCGATCAAGTGCTCAGTTGTGTTTAACAGTTTTACAGTGCTTGAGGAAAAAGAAGATATTGATCTCAGTGAGGCTTGGAGTAGACACCCAGAACTGGGTGGAGGAAAGGTGAATGGGGAGGGAGAGAAAGTGGTGCATTGGTAGGGTCTCTATGTATGGTGGGAAGAAGGCTTGTGTAAGAAAAGCAGGTTCGAACTTAACAAAATATTCAAACTCCAAACGAACATATGGAGCACCCATCTAACTCCTCATTCACACAGCACTGTATGTCGTTACTTGGCTCAGCTTTGAAACAACTGAACGCTGACCTTATTTTTACCCAGACAGGGCGGATAAGTTCTGCGCTAAAAACACCCTGATTTGGAATTAGCACTCACAACCCTAGACCGTGTTTCTCATTCCTTTAGCCTTACTCCTTAATCATGCTCTTTAGACCATATTTCACACTTAAAGTTCAACTTTTAAAATAGAAATTGATTTTCTACTTCTACTTACACAGAAAACATTGCATAGGAATCAAAAATGCAAAGTTCTTGCCCCGCCTATGCCATTAACCACCTGTGAGGTCAAAAATGAGCCATCTAGTCTCTAAATAAGTTGATACACAGAATAGTTCCTTCTAGGTCCGAAATTTCACGGATCCAACCAGTTGACTGGAAGACAGCAGAGTAATATCCAAAACACATTACACAGTCTGAATTTCTGACTTTTGTTTTATACAATTGTTGGACAAAACTGTCAGTCTCTATTATTTCTCTCTATCCCATAAAAACTGAATTCAAGGAAGGATAGGAAGAATTTATTTTATGCCTCTGCCTGATAAACATCATCCTGAATTTGAATGGCAACTTTCTGACTATTTTCATGTCCCCTATAGGTATAAGGTCCCTCGACAGTATAAAAATCCCAGAGATGGCCTGATATTAACACTTCAGGACACAGGGAGAGTAGCCGCTGCTACAGACAATAAGGGAGGAATTTTAGTCCTCTGCTAGGGCGGTGAGAGGGCTGGAGAGGAAAGGGTCGTGCCCCTCCTTGCTGAGGGCGATGGGGACTTGAAATTGAAAGGGAGTGGGGGGGGGGCGGGGTACAGAAACAGGGCAAAGAACAGCGTCTCCAAACCAACCAGGTCTTATATATCACGCGGGGTATTTAAAGGAAAGTTACAGGAGGCATTAAAAGTCCAGGTTAACACGTTTAATACAGTGTGCTAGTCTAGAGCCCAAGGGCATCACCGAGTGCGTAGAAACTTGCCCTTGGGTTAGGCTCATCGTTTGAAGAACTCAGAACTGTGACAGATAAAGTACCTCTCGCTTCTTCCGCTGAGAACTGACTGCCCTGTCCAGCGGGCAGCTTCTGCTGATGCTGTCCAGGCATCGCCCAAGGGGAAAGGTTGCGGCGCGGTGGGAAAGACGCAGGAGGAGTCTGGCGGTGATTGATGGGGAAGGGACGAATGAATAAAAGTACTTGTCTAGGGATAGCAAAGAGCCTGAGTAAGCTGTGGAGCTGCACGGTCTGGCATTCCCTGAGCGTTTCGTCAGAGCCAGCCCCGCCTGCTGCTGAAGGGAGGCGTGCTCTGCTCCGGGGATCAGGGAAAACCGAGGCGTGAGAGCCGAGCGCGTCCCGGGAAAGAGGTTCTGGCTGGTCGCTTTGCGCCTGCTGCGTCCCATCCGAGAGGTAAACATTCTGATTTGGTATCCAATTAAAAGCAGTGATTGACCCTTGTCCTGGGGCTTCAGCTTACATTACTAGTTTGGGAAATTATATATATAATTCATATACATATAAATTATATATATAATGCATACATATACATGCATACACACATACACATATATGTGTGTATATGTACATATATGTGTGTGTATGTGTATATACATATATATAAATATTTTAAATAAAACGTATAGACACAGTGAATTGAGGTTGGCGTACGAGAGGGCGTGTGAGTGTTTGAAGTCACTTGGGGGGGGGACAGAAGCTCCGAAGTTAATGCCGATAGTCTTCCCAAGTAGAACCGAGTTGAGAAGTCGCAGATTTTCCGAGTCAGCCGCGCACTCCTGCGGGCCTCGGGGAACCTGAGCTCAGGCAGCAGGGTAGAAGCGGCTTTCACCCACCAGGAGTCTTGGAGTTCAGACACGGGTTGTCTGGGTTCCCGAAGGAGCAAACTGCAGAAATTGGCACATACCCTCGGCCTCTGGGTGCCTTGATTGATTCCCCCCGTCCCCAGAATCCTTAGCCAGAACGTACATGCTCCCTCAGGGCACACCAAGGAGCTCAGAGCTTTTGCCTTGGACACCCATGCTTCCCTCCTTGACACACCCCTTCCAGAATGTCCCGCCCCACTGAGAAACATTTACCACTGGAGATGGAGGGGAGAGGGGGAGGGACTCAGGGGAGAAAAACCACCGAGAAAACTGGTTCTGGAAGGACAGTCTAAGGGCGCAGGCTGGTCGCACTCGCCAGTTTCCCACTCGCGCGCAAACTTGAGTTATTTTTGCATGCGGATAGTAGCCGCGCGGTTGGACTCTGCGCCAGCGGTTTGCCGGGGAGTGGCTGGGGCAGCTGAACCAAGTGTCTTGTCTTCCTTCCCCTGCTGGTCTCCAGACTCTGAAAGCTGCGGAGCGGCCACCCGACTCCCACTGGAGCAGATAGCATCATGCAGCAGCTGCCAAGCCTGTGCGGACGCGCCCTGGTGGCGCTGATCCTTGCCTGCGGCGTGGCGGAGGTCCAGGGAGAAGAGAGGGGATTCCCGTCAGCTGGGGCCACTCCGCTGCTTCTGGGGACCGGAGAGATCATGACGCCCCCCACTAAGACCTCATGGCCGAGGGGGTCCAACGTCAGCTTGCCGCGGTCATCAGCACCTCCGCAGATTCTTGAGACAGGGAAGCCGGCAAGAGCCCCTCCACGGAACCTCGCTCCGCCCCCGTGTGAAGGAACCATTGAGATCAAAGAAACTTTCAAATACATCAACACGGTGGTGTCCTGCCTAGTGTTCGTGCTGGGCATCATCGGAAACTCCACGCTGCTGAGAATCATTTACAAGAACAAGTGCATGAGAAATGGCCCCAATATCTTGATAGCCAGCCTGGCTCTGGGAGACCTGCTGCACATCATCATTGACATCCCCATCAATGTCTACAAGGTAAAGGGAACCTGCTAATATCGCGATGAGAGAGCAACTGGTTAGGTAGAGGGAGATGGGAGAGACTTTGGAGGGAGCTTATTCAAGAAGATCCATCCCCTCCTAAAAGTCAGCAACCATTGCAACCAAATTACCTACGGGTCTTCAGTACCAATTCTAAGCCTAGAACAAGTGTAGTCCCCAGAGGCATCAACATCACTTGGGAATGTGTTAGAAATGACATTTTATAGCCTCAAATCTACTCTGGGGTGGGGCACTATATATAAATTTTTTTATTTTAAAAGCTCTCCACGTTATTAGGATGAACTGTAAAGTTTGAGAACCATGTGTTCTGAAGGGTCTTGTCCCTAAGTCCAGCTCACTGGGTACATTATCTCTAAGGTTTGATCCATGAACTGGCAAAATTGATATCACTCAAGAGCCTGTTAGAACAACAAGTCTACCCCAGACTTGCTAAATCAAACTTGTGCATCTTAAGATATCTAGGTGATGTGTGTGAATACTAACCTTAGGAAGCATTTTCTTAGAGGACTCTGAAAGTAGAGGGACTGGAATTCGTTTTTAGGAAACAAATAGCCTAAAAGAAAGAGGCTCAGACTGGCGAGTGGGAAAACACAGGTCCTCTGCTGTGTATAACTGCACTGTTCCTACTTTTTATTGAATGCCTGCAGTAAGGCAAGCACTGGGGATAGATGTATTACATTTTTTACTCCTTCAACAACCCACAAGTAAATATTACTCCATTTTACAGAAGATTAATAGGATGTTCAAGATTTCACAATGAGTAAGAGATGAAGGTGGGAATCAGGCTAATTCAAAGTACTAGCCAGCCACACCTCATAGGTTACTTCATGGACAAGACCAAGAGCACTCAACTTTAAGTCTGTAAAGAAAGGTTTCAGTAGCTAACACTACTGTGTGATCACCAGGGGCATCAGAGGGAACAGGCATGGAGAGCAAGGTCAGAACATAAACCTTGACACTATTTGCCACTAGGTTGCTTTGGATCTCTGGACACATCCTAACATCCCTGGGCCTCAGTTTCGTCAACTCTACAACAAGGCTTCTAGTGCCCACTTACTGGGGTTTTGTGGTATTAAGAAAAATAGCCCAAGTGAAAGAGCTGGAACATTTTAAAAGACTGTATAAATATGTAAAACTCTGCTTCCCCATTATGATCAGCAATAGAAAATCAAATATAAAAACAGAACCCAAGTGTAGAGGAATGGTAACGTGTTTTGAAGATTTGCTTTAAGCTAGTCCTGGACTTGGGTACAGGGAAAAAAAAAAAACAGAATGTGGAGTTGAGAAAGGCTTGTAGAGCCTTTGCTTCATCTTTCGTGGCAGAAGTTATCATAAGCCATGCCTTTAAACTGTCCTTCATGAATCTCTGGAAATTCTAATCCAAATAGCCATATTTTAAGGGAATTCTAGAGATTTCTGAGGTTTAGAGATAGGATTCAGATTAGGAACAAGGCCCGAGAAGGAAATATTCCCAGAAATTGGTGATAAATAGAAGAAATTCTAAAATTCTGCATGACAACTGGTTCTTATGAACTCTGGAGAGCATAGTCTGAAATGAGTTTCTTCAATGCGATCACAGCTCCTTTTGGGTCAGAAGTGACCCATTTACTTCTTAAGGAGTCCCACAGACCAAGTCTTACTGTTCCAATTTGGCAGAGGAATTGTAATTCAATTCATCAAAACTGACTTGAGAAACATTAGAGTACAAGGTGTTGTGAGAAATTTTAAAATAAATGAAATAAGATCCTTCTTAAAAGAGAGGTTACATCTAGTTCTGCTAGTCTTGCACAGAATTTTGTGAAAGGCCTGTTTAGAGAGGTTCCAGGAAACCCCACACCTCTAGCCTGGTCAGAAACCTTCCTAAGCCAGCACTTGAAGTGCTATGTGGAAGGAGGGGCTGAGAACACTCTGGTGTTGCTTTCAGGCATGAGTAAATCAGCTCTTCCAGGACCATCCTACTTCCTCTGTCCAGTCAAATTATTACACTCAATAAGTCACAGAATATTTGACTCCTAAGGGGGCACACAGATTTTATTTTCATTTCAAATTCCTTTATGATTTCCCTAGGAAGTTACATCTTTTTGCCTGAAGCTACTTAGTCTGTTAAAACTGTGTTTTCACTTCTGAAATAAACAAACTAATAAATCATTACAAATATGACCATCTCCTTTTCTATATTGGTCATAAACAAATCCATCACAAAGAGTTAGGTTTACCATCATTGAACCCCATATAGTAACCTTTGGTTGATTTTTGTAGTATGCATAAATAGGTAACACTTGAGGCATAATGTAACAATGGCAACCATTTATTATGCACTAGGTACTTGGTTTATTTCATTAAATCACTGTGACAACCTTATGGAGGAGGTACTGTTATCATCCCTATTATATGGGGAAACTACATGTTGGAGAGGTGAAGATTGCCCAATGTCACCCCACTAGAAAGTGATGAAAGCAGACTTGAAGCCAGGCCGCCTGGCCCCAGCACCTGTGGCCCTCCCCGGCCTCCTGCACTGAGCAGGCTCAGGCACAGCATGCCCTTCTCCAACTTGGAGTGTTGTGAGGGCCTCATTGGAGTGCTTTAGTGAAATTGTGTGACACAGTAGGATACTTGGTAAGCATTTTCAGGTTCAATTTGAGTCATCTGAAGATTTCTCTCTTCAGAAATCCCATTCAGATGATCTGTAGTGTGTAATATTGATAATAGCATTGTTATTCTAAAAGCTTTGTTTACTGAAACACCTAATCCAGGACTAGATAGAAGTTATTTATTACCCTAAATAATTATGACACCATATAAGTAAGTTTTTAAAAATGCATTTATTATTTCAGAGTAGTCAGGTATTATACTTCACAGAAAGTAATTTAAGTGAATTATGAATGCCATTTAAATTTATCCTAAAGTGGGGGACTTGAATCTCTAAGCCAGCGATTTATGTTTTTGTTTTTGTTTTTTTTGTAGAATGTTACCGTTCTCTTTGAGAATCAAGCAAATTGTTTTTATTATGTATAATTAATACATGATATATAATGTATATAATTGTGATTAACATATAATATATTAAAATATACATATATGTGCACACATTCGTAATTTCTGGGTATTCATAAAACCCTCCAACCCATCTGTTGGCACACCCAGGGGCCCAGAAACGTCAAAGTAAATCTATTACATTTTGATCTGGAGTTCAGTAAATCTAGAGTTCAATAACGTTGACAAACCAAAAAATGTGAAAATTCTTGCTGGAAGCCATAGTCCTTAATACCGCTGGAGAATGAGACAGGACGTCACAGGGAGGTGCTGCTGTGAGGGGATGACAACCTCTGTCTTGCCTCCCTCAAGGAACTGAGTCTCTGGAAACTTCTAGGTAGAGTCAGTCTTCCTCACCATGAAATCCAGTGTTGGAGGTCAAAAAGATATCACAGGACATTCAGCAAATTAAAGCTGTTCCAGTGCTTGAAATATTTATGTAAACATGTTGAAAATAAAAGCCTCTTTATCCTCCTCAGCAGCACACACTAGGGCTGTTACACACTATATTACATAAGACCATCCAGATGAAAAATGAAAAATGCAATCATCCAAAGATATTTAAAATATATATATAGACGGGTATGTTTATGCATATATAAATATATTAAATGTTCTAAGTATGTATAGACACATAAGTAGGTGAATATCTTTTGTCACAGTGTCTAGCACATAGTAAGCAAATAAATGAGTGTGTGTATGTGTGTATGTGTGTGTGTGTGCATGTAAATAAGAATGGAAATTTGTAGGGTTTTTTCCAGCTTTTGCCATTATCACCATGACTACAAATAACATCTTTGTACATATGGCTTAGCACACATGTGTGATTCTATCTGAAGGGTAAATATCTAAAATTAAAATTACTGAATCAAAGGATATGTGCATTTGTAATTCTGATAGATATTGTCATATTGTGGGCCAAAGTTATTGTTTTACTCTTAGTTTGAATCACTATTTTATACATCTCCATAGAGATATACATATATTGATGTCTATCTCTAACATATACATGGATCACCATGCCAGTAGTTACATGGTGTATATATGTACCAGACCCAAAAGCCAGGTTTAAGTTATCTGATATGACGATGCATCTCTCCTTATTCGCAAGCTACTTATTTATATCCTTCATGTATAAACTAAAATGAATGGGGTAATCTAGATGTTTGTTGCCTACAAGAGCCTATCTGACTACTAAATTATAGTAGCGCCAATGTCAAAGTTATGTGGGAAGCAAAAGAACTGGGTGCACTTGTGGATGCTATGGAGGTTTTTATGTTGTTGGTTGGTTGGTTAGTTGGCTTGGATTCATTTGATTTAGCAGTGATATTCAACAAGCCTTGATTGCCAGTTAAGTTAAAATTTCTTTAATTTATTTTAACTTCTCAAGAAGTTGAAATTTCTTGAGCAAATAATGAGTTTTAAAATTATTTATGAATTTTAGTTAACAATTTCACTCCTTGTGCTATATTTACATAGATAACTGAGTTAATATAGTTAATTCTCAAATATAGCTTCTTTTATGTGTAAGCAAATTGCTTTTGAAAACAAATTTGTCTCTAAACTGATAAGGCAAATATTGATGGGCATCAGTTTGATAAAATCTGAGTGTAATCAGATGTCCAGGGGTGGTAGAGAGCTTTTTGAAAATTAGGCTGGTGACCTATTGGAGTGCTTTTAGATGGCTTTGCACTTAAGACTTTGTAGGCTACTTTTAGAGGCCAGGAGGCTGCCTTCATACCTCTGAGATGCAAAACTGCTGATCTTTAACGTTTAACTGGTTAAGGTAGAGTATATCTAACATTAAAATGCCGGCATGTCAAAATGTGGAATTGCTTCACTGAACCAACAAATGAGTTTTGAGTCAAGTGACCTTGTCAGGTAATCATATATTTTCTGCTTGTGACACGATCAAAACTATCTTCCTGAACAAAGTCACCTTT